TTCCGAGGAGTGGCTGGTGGGTTTGAACCGCCTGCCTTCTGGTTAGCAGTCAAGTGCCTTAGCCACTATGCTACCAGAGCTCCCACACAGGGCAGTTGGGTTAAAATCTCAATAAAGTAGGTGACGAGGCTTAAAGACCAGAACAAGAGTAATGGACATAAGTGGAAACTTATTAACAAGGGGAGAATAATGGGAAGAGCTCCAAGGTCTTAACAGGTGAAACAAACCACCCTTCATGTGACATTTCAAGAGAAGAGATTTATCAAGAGAGAGTTCAGTGGTAAAATGGGAACTGGATTCTCATGATGGATCCTTCCCCCGGCAGTGCTAGATCCCCTGGCCAGGGCTGGAGCAGGAATCCGTTGAGCTGCTGATCCTGCATTGTAATGTTGCTGTTATCTAACCAGGCCCAGCACTGTCTGGCCCGACTCTCTGCTGCTGCTACTCTGATCTTCGGGAACTTTCCCTTGGATGCGAATCACTTAACAGATTCACTAACAGTTCTTAGAAGGGTGAAGGTAGTGGCTACCAGAGCGCAGCTTTTGCCAGCCCCGAGTCCATGGAGAGGTCTTGCCATCACCCTCTCTGGGTGTGTCTGACCCGCTGCAGGTCCGAGGAGCTGCAGGTGTGACTGACGGAAATGAAGTGGCCAAAGCCCAGCAGGCGGCTGGCGGTGGCGCAGCCCCAACCATCTTCTCCCGGATCCTGGACCGCAGCCTCCCAGCTGACATTCTCTATGAAGACCATCAGGTGGGATGCCCTTAGGACCCAGCCCCCAAGGGAGTTCCTAGGTAGCACCTCAAAGGTACAGTCCTGCCTGTTGAAGTAACATGGTGGCCTCTGACCTGTCACTGCCTGTGACCTGGTCCTTCCTCCCACCTCCAGTGTCTTGTGTTCCGTGATGTGGCCCCTCAGGCCCCTGTGCACTTCCTGGTCATTCCAAAGAAGCCCATTCCTCGGATTAGCCAGGCTGAAGAAGAGGACCAGCAGGTGGGAAGGACAGAGCCAAGGTTTGGCTGGGGGGCTGCACCAGCTAGAGATGTTATTGCTGAGCGAAGCCATCTGGCTCCCTTCCGTCTCCCTGTAGCTTCTAGGACACCTCCTCCTTGTCGCCAAGAAGATAGCAAAGACTGAGGGCCTGGCAGATGGATACCGACTCGGTGAGTAACTTTAGGCCCTTGAGCCCCTGACCGAGATTCTCATACCAACCCCTTAATAGGACCTTGACACCCTAACCCTGAGCTCCATTTCAGTGATCAACGATGGGAAGCTGGGCGCACAATCTGTGTATCACCTGCACATTCATGTGCTTGGTGGGCGGCAGCTCCTGTGGCCTCCAGGCTGAACCAAGCAGCTGGCCAAGGACCTCGGGCCTGGATGCTCGGATTGGGGGGAGCAAAAGGACCCTGTGATGCTAATAAAGCTCTCCGATAACTTTGGGTCTGTGTGTTAAATGTATAAAGACGTATAGAGATACATAGAATATATATAAATAAAGCGGGAAAACACATCCAGGGGTGTAATCCCCTTAACTATGGGCTAAGACAGAAGCACTGAGGAGGCCTGTGATTAAAGGGGTGGTTGTCTGAACATCTGTGCGCTCTCGTACCTCGTGAAGCACTAGGTCGAGCTGCTAGAAAAATTGTGGGAAGAGACTGACTACCAGGTGTGAGGCCTGCATAAGCCTGCCCCTTATTGAGAGACCAAGCCAGATTCTAGGGTGCAGAGTGAGGGGTGGTTGTCATTGTGAAGGGCCTGTACCTTTTATTGGAGAAATAGTCACCAAGAAACCTGCTACCTTTTTTTTTTATTATTATTATTGTGATTTGGGTGAAAGTTTACAGAGCAAATTCACTTCCCATATAGCAGTTCACACACAGTTTGTCTCATGACATTGACTACACCTTACCCCAATGCAACAGCTCCCCTCCCACTTCCTCCCCATAGTTACCTCTTCCCTGTGTCCATCCCTCCATGACTCCTGCCCCCTGAACTGTCTCCCTGTGCATAAGCAGCCCTTCTTTCTCCCAGGATTGTTCTCTCCAAGGAGTGTATCTACCTCAGATACATGTTCAACTCATATGCCTTTTGTTTGGCTCAAAGCCACAGGTGTGGGTTCAATTCCAGACCTGAAGGGCAGCTAGGGGCCATAGTCTCAGTGGTTCCGAAACCTGCTAGCCTTTGACTGTTCCATACCTCTCACTATTTTGCTTATAAACTGTCATCCATAACTTTTTTTAAAAAGACTCCTTCACTTTTGAGAATGAACTAAGGGGAAGGTACTGGTGCCCCTGCACAAACATACCGGGTACGCTTTTGCCATTGATGCCACAGTTCTCTGCTTATCTCCAACATCCTCCCGTAACAAACCCCCTTGTTGTTGTTGTTGTTATGTGCCGTCGAGTCATACCTGACTCATAGCGACCCCTCCTTGGGTTTCCGAGGCAGTATCACTACGGAAGTAGGATTGCCCAACCTTCCTTCCGAGGAGTGGCTGGTGGGTTTGAACCGCCAGTCGTCTGGTTAGCAGGCAAGTGTCTTAGCCACTATGCTACCAGAGCTCCCAACAAACCCCCTTAGTAAGCCGCAAAGACTCCTGCTTGGCCGTGAAGAGCAAGCCCTTGGGCCAGCGGAACCTTTAACACCGCTCTGGGGGAGAACGGAGCCGGGAGAGGAAAAGTGCCGTCCCAAGCCACATCAGGTTTAAGACTTCGCCCCGCAGAGGCTTTGCCTCCGCCCCCACCTTCCACATCCGCCCAGTGTCCGGGCCTTGTTTGCCGTCTCCGTGGCAACCCGGTAGCCGGTGCCTGAAGATGGAGACGACCGAGTGCACGGAGGGATCGGAGTCGCGGTGAGCACTGCAGCTGAGGCTGCGGGCATAAGGGGTCGGGGAGGGTGTGCGGTGCTTCTCACGGCTTGGGTCTCTTTCAGGTGTTCAGACGGTCAGCCCAGCTCCGAAGGACTGGGGTCCAGTTCGGAACCGCTGGTTTCTTCGGATGGCGGGGCTGAGTCCGCCCTGGCAGCCGCGACCGCAGCCGCTGCTTCGGCTGCTTCGGCCGCATCTGCTGCGTCTGAGGCCGCGGCCACTGCCGAAGCGGCTGCGTGGTATCCGAAGGGCCCGAGGCCCCGCCCCGAGCCTGTTCTCATCGACCCCGCCTCTGGCCTCCGTCTTCTCGGGCACCCCTGCGCTGGATCCAGGTTCCCCCACCGGACAGGCCGCGGGAGTCTTGGCTTCGAGCCCACCTATATCTCCTGTGTTCCTCGGGACCCCTGGGCCACAAGTGACAGCTCGGCCTGTGGCTGGCCTCATGGCTCCTCCAGCTCCGGTCCTGTTCCCGACTCGAGCTCCAGTCCTGGCCAGAGCTCTGTCCCTGGCTGCGGCTCTGGTCAGGACTCTGGCCCTGGTCCTGCCTCTGCCTCTGGGCCTCGTCCAGGCCCTGGCTCTGGTGCAGGCACGGGCCCTGGTCCTCGCCCTGAGCTCGGAAACCTTAGGGAAGACGAGAGCCGTAATTACACCTGCTGGAATCAGCAGGGCTACCTGGAACCTCAGAAGGAGCCCTCCTGGGAATTTCTGCAAGTCCCAGAACCTGGGGCCCGGGGGCCCTGGAAGCCCTCAGAGGCTGAAGGGAAATCTCACGGGCTCTCGGAACCACTGCCACAGGGCCAGTGTCTCCTCTACAACTGGGAGGAGGAGGTACTAAGGTTTTGGCCTGCCCCCTTTTCTTAAGGGCTGCCTACAGTTTCCTGGAGGAGGGAGTAGTTCATTCCAGAGGGGATATCATGGTCACTGGCTTGGGCCCACAGAGAGCCACCAACCACCTGGATCGAGTCCCAAGCATGCAGGATGGCTCGGAGAGTTTCTTCTTCCGACACGGACACCGAGGGCTGCTGACTCCGCGGCTCCAGTCACCCATGGCCTCCAGCACCACCCAGAAAGACTCCTACCAGCCCCCCCCAAACCTCCATCAGTCACTTCGAGGTGTGGAGCGTGGGAGGCCAGAATGAGCCAGTTAGGGGGAAAAAAAAGGAGAGAAGGGATTTTGGGTGGGACTGTGGAGGAGCTCTGGTTGTGTAATGGATAAGGCTTTTTTTTGGCTGCCAGCCAGGAGGTCACTCGTTCAAACCCGTCAGTTGCTCTGTGGGAGGAAGATGAGGCCATCTACCTCTGTAAAGATTTACAGCTTTGGAAGCCCAGTGGGGGTCACTATGACTTGGAATCAACTCAGTGGCAGTGAACCCACTGGTTTTGGCTTTTTGGTGAATGGTCCAATGGGTACAGGAAGGAAAGAAAGAAACAAACAAAAAAACATAGGATGTTCATTCTTTTACCTGAAATGTGCTTCTTCCGGGCCGCTTCTCCACCAGACATCCCCACTCTGTCCACCCCTGCCCTCCCACAGGGAAGCGGGAAGCCATGCTGGAACTGTTCCTGCACCACCGGATCTGGTAAGAGGCTAGGGGAACATGGACAGGGAAGGGAGGCCGAAAATTGGGAAACGGTGGCCTTGACTTCCTCCAGGGCTGTCCAGTAAAGAGGTGCAGGCAGAGCAGGAACCTGTAAGGGGGACCTTTGAGGCGGAGTCTGTGACACACCGCGACTACCGCACAGAGCTGGCGCAAGCAGGGCCACCTGCCCCTACCAGGGTGAGAACCCATCCCACCCACGTGCCCAGCTGGGCTCAGGCAGGCCCAGAGGTTGAGAGGGGACTGTAGGCTGCGAGTTATTCCATGTCCTTCCCTCACAGCCTCACGACTACCGTCTGGAGCAGCCTGAAACCTTCTGGCTACAGAGGGCACCACAGCTGCCGGTGTGTGCGGGTGACTAGGTGTTGGGGAAGGGGGAGAAACAGGAAAGGCTGTTCTCTTCAGACGTGGGCACCCCGGGACCTGTCCTCATTCTGTCCCTCCTCTAGGGTGTCAGCAATATCACGACGCTGGACACACCATTCCGAAGGAACTGCAGCTTCACAACCCCGGTGCCCTTGTCCCTGGGGCAGCCTTTGCCCTATGAGCCTCAGAACTAACCCCCCCAACTGGGAGAAATGTCTTCCCTTGCCTGCCAGGGAGGGGGGCAGTGTGGCAGAGGGGGTAAAACCACGGTCTGAGGGTTAGGGGGCCGGTGTGGAACGAACAATCCGTTTCCGTCTGTAACGGAGCGTGGAGAGGAAGTGAACTCTGTGTTCGGTGAGGGCACATTACATCAAAGATTCCCCTCCATCAGTGACTCCGTGACTTACTGTGTCCATTCCGCCTAACCCCCTCCCCTTGGGCTTGCCCTTGCCCCAGACGGTGACACCATGACTTCTGTTGTTTTATATTTGACCAAAATATTCTGGTTTAGATACAGATATTTACAGTAGTAGTGTGGGGGCCAGGCCAGAGGGGGACAGGGCTATGCACAAGGCTGAGCCGCAGAGAGCAGCAACACCCACACTGAGGTCGGGCTTCGGTGCACGTTGGTTTCCATCCTGGACGCCGTGCGGCTTTGATGTGCGCAGAGATGGATGGCAGCCGCTCCCATCCCGATTCCAGCGCTAGGACGCTGTCTGACTGGGGACGAAGTGGGCTTCACAGGAGCCCGCCAGGCCCTTTCCGCTCTCCCAGGAGCCAGTACGTCCGCATCTTTCCCTTTCCCTGTGAGTGGGGAGGTGAAGATGCTCAGACCCTTCTGTCCGTCCCGGTCTCCCCCCTCTTCCCCCAGCAGCCCACAACCCCTTCCGCCCTCCTTTCCACTCCCCCTCCCTGCGGCCGGTCGTCACCTTCATCTCCACGTCCCCCCGAAGCTCCAGCTGGAAGCAGCCTAGCTCGTCCAGGGCATCTTTGGTGGCGGAGGAGACGTGGATCTTCAGAGCTGGGGTGGGCAGGGGTGGTGGAGAGAAGAGTCCGAGGCAGGGCAGAGAGCTTTACCCAGCCAGCCCTCGGCTCCCTGCCTCCCAGAGCACGTTCACTGGAACTAAAGTGTCCTCAAGGATGGGCCAGTTGGGGACTGTGTGCTCTCAGGTGGAGAAATCAGGAGGAATCTGAACAGCAGGAGAGAGGCTGGGGCTGGGGTTGGGCCAGCGCCTCACCTTGACCATTGGACTCCATCCGAGAGGCAGTGTTCACCGTATCCCCAAACAGACAATAGCGGGGCATCTTCAGGCCAACGACCCCGGCGCAGACTGGCCCTATGAGGAGAGACGGGTTGGGAAAGCCTGGAAGGGGTGGCAGCGAGGGTGAGGCTGAGAACCAGCCTTACCTGTGTGGACCCCTATGCGGAGCCTCAGTTGGTCGTGGGGCCGGTGACGGATGCGGAAGGAGGAAACCGCATCCAGTAATGCTAGGGCCATCCGGGCAATCTCAGGCGCGTGGCGCTGGCCATTGCGCCCCGGGAGGCCAGAAACCACCATGTAGGCGTCTCCGATGGTCTCCACCTGATGGACAGGGAGATTCAGACGTGACTGCTCCCTGCAGCAGTGGGAATGGGGAAGAGGAGGGGGCACTACTGGTGCCACTGGGAGGCGCCCTGACAGCCTGGAGCCCCAGCACTGACTCCAGACCACGTGCCGGTCCTGAGAGTCTGGAGGTGGGAAGGGAGGCGAGGGACTTTAAATCTCTCCTCCCCGCCCCAGCCCCTGGCGAACGCTTGGTAAACGCTTGCTGAATGAATGGCCACCCTGTCTGCAACAGGACATGGACAAATGGCTCTGCTGTCAGGAACCAGGAGGCAAGAAAACGGCTAGACGAGTACTCGGAGGCTGCTGACTGGGCCTCAGACGGCCCGACTTCCAAAGGGTGAGGATGCAGGCTGCTGGGTTTATTCACTGCCCTGTAGGCAGGCAAGAGAAGGCCCCGTCCTTCGGAAATACACACTGAAGGATTCTGGGACACGTCTGAAACTTACTCTCCAATGGTTCCGGGAATAATTTATGCAGACTCTTCTATAAAGCAAATGTATGGGGGGAGACAGCCACTGGTGAATCTCAGTAAAGGGTCCAGGAGAGTTCTTTGGACAGTGACAGCAGAGATGGCAGTGAGTCCAAAGGGAGGGGTCAGGAAGAGCATACGCCATGCACAACGTTGGACAAACACCTCGTTCTCATCTTAGAGCCAGAACAGCCGAGGCCCAGGGACATTCTGTGACTTGCCCAGGGCCACACAATTAGCAGAGGGCAATGTTCCAAGCCAGCCCAACTCAATTCAACGAAAGCTTGAGAATGTTTTTCACGACTTCCCTCTCACCCCAATAAATCCTCCCACGCCCATATCCTCTAGGATTCTCCCATTTCCGGAGGACACTGGAGAGAGGCGATGGGCAGGCTAGATTGAGAGCCCTGGTGGAGCAGCAGAAATCAGGGCTAAACCTGGTGGGGTGGTGGCTCTGCTCAGGGAGGACCAAGGTTCCCAAGAAAGTAGACCGGACTGTCAGCTACCGGGCCAGAGCCACTCTGTCCAGAAAGGGAAGGTACGGGGGCACCGCCTTGAAGGGATCTCGGTACAAGGGGAGCCCCGGGTCTCACCTTGTAGACGTCGAAGTTGTCAATGATGGCGTCAAAGCAGGTATACAGGTCGTTAAGAAGTGTCACCACCTGACAAGGGATGGGGCAGCACAGGGCCTGAGGCTGGCACCCGACTTTCTAGGAAATGTTAGTCCCCAAGCCGCGAGGAGGCGTGGGAACTCGGGAACAAGGGATCGATCGTCCTGTGATCGAGGATCCCGACAGCCCCGTGAAGCTCCCGCCGGCCTCCCCTTCCCACCTCCTCCCTCTCGCCCACGGCTCTCACCTGCATGGGCGTGCTCTCTGCCGACAAGGCCGTGAAGCCAACGATGTCACTGAAGTAGATGGTGACACTGTCAAAGGCCTCAGCCTGTACCGTCTCTCCCCGTTTTAACTGCTCTGCCACTGAACTAGGAAGCAAGGAAGCGGTGTGAGCCTGCCTCCGAGAGAGGCTGGGGGAGAGGAAGAGGGGCGTGCGGTGTGGCGCAGCAGGGGCAGTGCCGACGTGAAAGGTGGGCTGGGCCGAGCAGGAAGAGGCCCAGGAGGACATTACAGCCGGGGGCAAGGGGGGGCGCCCGAGTGCTGGGGAGCTGGGCGGGCATCCCTGGGGATGCCGGAGGTTGAGAGCGTTTTACGTACACCTGCTGGGCAGTGCCCTGAGGAGGGACTGGAAGCCAGAAAGAAGGCAGCCCAGCTCATTGGAAGGCACAATGATGGCACACATTCTACAGCCAGGGGGCTCACTATGGCAAGATGGAGGCCAGCCAGGTGCTGGGGGCGGGAGGTGAGTTGTCAGGGGCTCAGCGAGGCAGCGGGCGGCAGCGGGGCCCAGGGGAGGCCCAGGGGAGGGGGCGGAGGCCTCACTGGGGCAGGATCTGATAGAGCAAGGCTTCGGCCTTCCGCTTCTCCTCCAGGTAGGCCTGCGTGCGCTCCTCCACCAGCTTCTCCAGGTTGTTGGCGTACTGCTCCATCCGCAGCAGGAGATTGTCCAGTATGCTGGTGCCGCCCTCCCTGCGGGCAGCCAGAGATGGCACCTGCTCCACGACTGCCCCCGCACCCGCTGTCTGCACCCTCTAGCCCCACCTCATCCTCCGAGACCGAGGCGGGGTCTAGCCCTGCGGAGCCCCGCCCCTCAGCGCCCTCTCACTTGTTAAAGCGACGAATGAAGCCCTTAATCTGTCCGAAGTCTGGCCGCTCAGCGGGGTCCTGCGCCCAGCATCGCTCCATCAGCAAAACCAGCTCCTCGTTCAGCTGGGTGCGGTCAATGCTCGGCCGGAAATATGGCCGCTGACTGTTTCGGACCTTCTGGACAATCTCTGAGGGTGATACAGGGTTTGGATGAAGACCGGGCCCCCAGCTAGAAGAGGCTGTGTAGTGAATTGACTCTCACCTTTGGGGCTGAGGTCCAGGCCCTCCAGAAAGAAAGGACCACTGCGAAGTGCTATCTCCTGGAGGATGATCCCAAAGCTATAGACATCAGCCTTCTGCATGCCCGTGGTTGGCAGGGGGCTCCCACCGAGCACTTCTGGGGCTGTCCATAGCTTCTCTGAAAAGGGGGAACAGCTGGCCAGGTCTTCAAAAGGGCACTCTCATGCCCACCGAGGCTCATTCCCGTCACACCCCCCCATAGCTGTTAGCTCCTATCCCCCTCCCGCCCTCCCTAGGTGGAGATGACCAGGGCCTCAGGAGTAGGACAAGGAGGGATCGGGGCACGGCAGGGGAGGAGGACCTCACTGGCATAAAGGGCGTGGCTGTCATCAGGCTCAGCAGTGGATCGGAAGCTGGCCAGGCCATAGTCTGTGATTTTGAGCACAAAGCGACTATCCACCACACAGTTGGAGGACTTGAGACTCCCATGAGATGCAATAATGCTGTTGTGGAGGAAGGCCATGCCCTGCAGGATACAGATCAAGTCACAGAATCCCATCGGGACTGGGATACCCCTCTTCACAAGGTGGGGATTAGCTAGCCGTCTAAAGGTCTTGGGACCATAAAAACGTAGAAAGCTGATTTGGGAAGGCATTCTTTGCACACTTTCTACCTAAGGGAGAGTCATCCCCCGGTACCGTAAGCAGTACACAAGCACCCAGGCACCAGGAATGGGAGACCCTTCAGAGGAGGGACAAGGGGAGGTATCAGTTGTTACCCTGAAAAGGACAGTCAGTCTTCTGGGTGGTGAAGAGAACAGAACTGTGAGGGCGAACCCCAAGACTGAAATGATACCCATGTGGGCTCAGATGCACGGCCACCAATGAGGGAGACTTGGCTGAAGACCAAGTGTCAGGAGTAACGAGATGGCCAGTTGTGAACACTATCGCGTAAGCACAGCCACAGGCAGGTCACAGTAGGGGGAAGGCGATCTACTGGCAGGCATGCTGGGTCACAGAGAAGGGAAATTAGAAAAACCTGCAGAATGGACCCAGAGCTGCCAAGCCAGTCCAGAAGCCTGGACCACCTGGCCTGCGGAGGCCAGAGAGGGAGGAACCCTTGCGTGAGGGACTGTGAGGCAGGCTGCCAGAGGGCAGAGTGGTGCATCCCAAAAATGAAACCTCACAAGCCCACAAGTCAGCTTGGGTGACACAGAAAAGAGGTGCGGTGCTGACCAGAATGGCACACGTCTACAAGTTTAGCTCTGAGCTTAAACTCTGGTCTCTGTGAACTCTTCCCTTTTTCACAGTGAGCCCGCGATATCAGTAAAACCTTGGGAATCCCCAAATGTGTGAACACAGAAATGATCAGGCTTCTGGATTTTTATACATCATTTTGTTCCATCAAATAGTTTTCTGTTTCATGTTTTTATTACAGTCACCACCACCACACCTCCAGTGAAACACCTTGTTAACTTTACCTATTAGTTCTCATTTGATGGCAAACTTTCACACACACACACACACACACACACACACATCACTTCATGAGAATTAAGCAGTGAGACCAAGGCCAGCTTCAGCTTGTGACATGAGGTGACCCACTAGGCTTGCTCACTGGCTATGGGACTTGCTTGTCCAATCATGCAAGGTTCAAATGTAGGCCTCAGGAAATCCATGGACCTACAGGTCACTTGAAAAAAACTGAAACCTCACACAATGGGAAGTAACAAAGGTTTGGTACAATTTTTCTTGATTTCTCTTTGTTTCATTCGTAAGTGTTCTTTTTTAAATTTCAGTTTTTCTGAATAAAAGAGAGGTTATGGCAAATATTGGAGAGTAAAATGATGAGAGGAAAAACAGCATATAAATATGTCTGGGGACTCCACTCATCTTTCCAAGTTAAGAGATTTTAATATAAGCTCTTGGAGGTAAAAGACATAATGGAAAGAGATCTGAGACATACAGGGTAGGAAGCCAAAAAAAACCCCACTGCCACCAAGTCGATTCTGACTCATAGCAGCCCCCACTGGGTTTCCAAGGCTGTCAGTCTTTATGGAAGTAGATTGCCTCATCTTCCTCCCGTGGAGCAGCTGGTGGCTTTGAACCACTGACCTTCTAGTTAGCAGCCAAATGTCTTACCAACTATGCCACCAGAGCTCCTTTATAGGGTTGGAAACCCAACCTTTATAGGTATGGGCATCCCTATGACAGATAAAACTCTTCTCTCCCATTATAAACCCAAGACTCCTTATCTCCCAGCACCGCCTAACCATAGAAATAAGAGGAAATAGAGAAGGGGGTTTTCAGAGGACTGGAAAGAGAACCTTTAAGCAAAGAAAGAAAGACGGAGGCATCCAGGGTGGATGGACTCTCAAGAAGTGGAGAGGAAGCTGCTGCGTCGTGGTAAACCGAGTCAGTGTCATGAGACAGTGTATGTGCACTGCTGTGTGGAACGGGAATTTGCTCTGTAAACTTTCACCCACATCACGATTAAAAATAAATAAATAAATGGTGGAGGCGGCTCACCTTAACAAGGTCGTTGATGAGTGAGTAACGGAACATCCAGTCCAAGTTGATACTGTCATTTTCCAGAATATCCTGGCAAGGGACACAGAACAGAGAAGGTGACTGTCCTCGTCCCGCTGGCTGTCTCCTGGCTTAATGTCACGCAACTCGGGGCCTGTTTCCCTCCGCCACGCGTGATCCCCTCCGCCCGCCCTCACCTGCAGGCTCCCACGAGGACAGTACTCGGTGACGATGCAAATGTTGGGGGGGTCTATGCAGGCGCCAATGAAGCGAGTGAGATGGTTGAACTGGACGTCTCTCATCTGGCAGAAGCAGCAATGGGGAGAGAAGGGAAACTGAAGGAGCTGAAAGTTCAGCGCAGAAACCCTGTCCTACACCCAAGGGCCTTTCCCTTAGCCCCACCCACCCCATAAAACCATCCATAAACAGCCCCCGGCCCCTCCAGCTAACTCCCCTCTCTTCCTCCTCATGGCTCTCCACCCCTGCCCTCAACCCGTACTCTGTGACATACATGTTTCAGTTCAAACAGGACCTGCCGGGTCAGCTCGATGCGCTTCTTATTCACATGTTTGATGGCAACAACATTGCCCTGATGGCGGCCGTGAAGGGAGGAAAAGGAAAAGGAAAATTAGTATCAGAAGGAGTTGCTGGGTGCTAAGAAACACCAGAGAACTGTGGGAGCGCCAGGGGCTCAGCTGGGACAGAGAGGAGGAGGGGACGCAGGGCAGAGGTTCACGGACGGACGGAGCTGGCAGATGGGGATGAGACAGGATGGAATGGTGGGGGCCGAAGAGGCAGACGACTTCACCTTGAAGTGACCGGTGTTGGCAAAGATCTGGTATTTCCCATGAGCTGTCATGAGCGAGCCGTAACTGGATCCCCGCTGGGGCCAAGGACAACACGGAGGCGGAAGGATGAGAGGAACATTAGATGGTGGTGGCAGTGCTGTCGCCGATGCACAAGGGAAGGTCTAGGGTGGGGAAGGCCAGGGCCTCGGAGGGAAGCGGAGGGACCGCGGACCGGGCTCACCAGTGACAGTGTGAGGCGGCTGCCTGCGCCTTTGTGGTGCCGCTCTGAATTCCCGAACTGCAGCTCCTCCCAGCGGATGCGCCACAGCATGCTAGCCAGCTCCCGTTCCAGCATCAGCTTCCTGAAAGGACCCCGCGCCTCAGTGGGCCGGCAAGCCCGTTCCTGCCACCCCACGAGGCTGCCCTCCAGCTCCTGAGGCCGCACCGGTTACCCCAGCGGAGGCAAGACTGAAAGATAAGGATGTGTTCGCCACCCGTGCCCTATGCTCCGTTACAAGCACCGAGGTCAAAAGTGAAAGTTGTCTTAAAACAGCAGCATCCGTAGAAAACTTGTCTTTGACATTCACCCCAAATGACTAGTCTATCTACTGGGCCTAGAATGGAAGGCGAAGCCAACACCTAGGCTGTAAGGTTAGGAAGAAAGCAAGCCGGAGGGCAAGATGTTGTTAGGTCTAAGACTCGACCACCAAATTCAGAGACCTGCTGTCCCTAGCCCGGGTCACAGACTTCGAAGTCTGTGGAGCAATGGACAGGAAGGGAGCAGCTGCGCAGTGGAAACCCCAGAACTCACCGGAAAATGAGGAAGCTGGACACCCCGAACATGATGAAGGTGATACCTGTGCCCAGGGCCACTATTGCCAGAGTCGAAAGTGGGGCTGCAGGGGAGAGAGAGACCCTGAGGAAGACTGTGTGTGGGGCTGGGGGAAGGGCAGGCGGTGGAGCTGAGGGTGTGCGCCAGGAGGGAGCGGGGCAGGCGAGGGGCAGGACGGAGGCGGGCGATCACGGGAGAAGGCCTGGGCCCAGCCCCTGCACACACCCACTTTTGTCACAGGATGGCTCGTCCAGGTCAAAGGCACAGGGGGGGTTGTCCAGGGGAGGGGCCCCCTTCCTCCAGGGGATAGGCCGTCCTGTCCACCAGATCTGCTTCTCGGCTCCTGAGTAGTGGGCTGCAGGCTGTGAGGGAGAGGCAAACTGGGCCCGCAGGCCTGCTCCCCCAACCCGCCCCCCAAACCTCTGCTGTGTTCCCACGCGGCTCCCCAACCGGCCACCACCCAGGCTGCAGCCCCAGCAGAGAGATGTATCCCTGCCTCTAGGCCCTCTGACTCTGCCCCCACTGAACCCCCCAAAAGCCCACACCCTCTTCCGCACCTCTTCCCCCATCACCTGAAAGTCCCCGGAATCCAGGTCTCCCATGGCCCACAGGACAAAATCAGTCTCCCGGTCATTGTTCTTGTCCATAACAACCAGCCCAGTGACACCTAGGGAAGAGAGCTCCTGACTTTGAGCCCTGCCCCAGCCCCTCTACCATCCCCACGATTCCTCCAGGTGCCTCAGCGGCTGCCCCCGACCCTGTTCCTGACGCGGGTCCACCCCCGCTCTGTTCCCCGGCCCCCTCGCTCTCCTCCTGACCCTGGCGGCTGTACCCCTCTGCCCGCTCCACTTCTGAGCCCAGGATCAGCCCTCAGGCCTCCGTCCGACCCTGCTCATTACCACGGTATCTCCGTCCCTGCATCTTCTCCACGATTCGAAGCCCGTCCTCCCGGGCGCCCCCTTCCTGCACCGTCTCGTTCAGCACCTCGGCGTACAGCAGGATCCCGTCGTAGAAGCAGCCGGCGATGAGGTTCATCTGGGGGTGGCAAGGCGAGCAGTGCACTCCCACCTCCTGGGGGCACCTCCCCAGCCCATCTTTGGGGTCTCCTTCCACCTCTTCTCTCTGCTGGTTTGCTGTCTTTCCCCTTCTCATTCCTAAGGGGTCATCCTTGCCTAACTGGGCCCTAGGGCAGACGGAAGGGCATAGCCCCTGCAGTGGGGCTGGCCCCAGGGCCGAGGTTTGATGGTTAGGGAGGGCAGCCCTTCTCCTGAGCCTGGCTCTCCGGGAGACAGAGATCGACTTACCAGGGAGGGGGCCAGCTCCACACCAAAATCTGCCCGGGCTCTCATCAGTAGACGATGTTGGAATTCTTGATACTCGGGATTTGGGGGTTCTCGGTACGTGATCACCAATACCGTCTGTACAACAGGACACAGAGGAGAGGGAGCGGGGCTCAAGATTGGGGAGCGGAGGAGGCAGCACAGGGAACTTGGGATGAAATATGCGTGGTGAGTCTGAGACAGAAAGACTGTGCTGAACTCTGTGCATGTTTAAGAGGTCTGAGGAGAGGGACGGCACCCCTCCGTGAAAGGCAGATAGGGCTCGTTATGGGGAGATGGAGACTTGGAAACAGATGACGTCAACACCATGCCCCCGGCCCAGCCCACCGGAAGCCTCTCTCACCGCCAGGCCCTCCTGCCAGATGACTACCCTCTGACAGCCTCCAGCCCATCCTTTCTGGGTCCCTGTTACTACTGAGGACAAGGCTGATCAACAAGCCCTCTCTAAGGTGTTAATTACCCTTGATGTTATCAGTAACATCTTTGCACTTCCACTTGGGCAACTTGAAGGTGGTGCCTCAATCCAGTGACTAAAGAGATTTCGGGCCTGTGGTGACTGGGGGAAGTATCCTGGGACAAAGGCTGTCAGTTCACCTGTGTAACAGGTGTTAAACACCTGCATGAGCAGTGCGGTGCTGCTTACCAGGGTGGGCCCACAGAGCACCACAGAATAGATGTGCGTCACAGAGACACACTGTAACGCGCCCACACACACACCATCGACGAGTCACACCTCTCAGTGGCACACAACGGGTCTCTGTCTCTCACCCAAGTGCCCACGTGTCTCCCATTACCTCACACGTCCCCCCTTCCTTAGTCGAGGACCTACCAGCCTCGGTCTCTGCCTCAGACCCCATCGTCACCGAACCTGGTCTCTGCCCAGGACACACAACATCAGAGAAAGATTTTCCTTCCCTATATTTTGTGAAGCATGACTGTGTGAAACGACAGGTGAGAATGTAGTCATTTCTCATCCTGTGATTTCCACTAGTGTTTAAATTCCTGCCGTGAAAGTACCTGTCACTGGACGCACCACACATGATGGGCTACATATCAGGCCATCCAGGCAGAAGGGCATTCAGTCTGTGACACACGCTTATTATAGTGGACTGGGGACCTGAGGTGGCTCTCACAGCTAACCCGCTCAGCTGCTGACTGAAAGGCTGGCAATGCTTATCCACCCAGGGTCCCTCAGAAGAAAGTCCTGGTGATCGGTTTGTTTAAAAACATCAGCCACTGACAACCCCTGCCCTGCCACACACGTTCACTATGAGTCAGCCGGACTGATGTCAGCTGGTTTGATTTTTGGTTTACGTTCAGCTGGAGTTTATTTTAAGACATAGCTTTTCTTACTGATGCCATTGGTTGCTTGATCACCACTTCCACACTCTCTCACTCCCAGGCAAAATGAAAAGGAAGAGGGAGGGACTGAAAATAGCATCAGAAGGATTTGCTGAGTGACACCTGTGCCAAGAATAAAAGCAGAGGAGTGGCAGGATGTCGCTGATAAACTATGAAAAGTTGGCAAGAAAGCTGAGAACAATCAGGTTGAACACAGTGTTGTTGTTGTTGTTGTTGTTGTTATGTGCCGTCGAGTCGAACCCCCGACTCATAGCGACCCCTCCTTGGGTTTCCGAGGCAGTATCACTACGGAAGTAGATTGCCCTATCTTCCTTCCGAGAACACAGTGTACATCTCAAGAAAGGCTAATGACAGGGGGTTTGTTAGTTTTTTGATGCTTAGTAATTCTCTCGGACCCCTGGTGCCACAGTTGCTAAAGTGCTTGGCTGCCAACTGAAAGGGCAGAGGTTTGAACCCACCAGCCGCTCCACAGGAGAAAGATGTGGCAGTCGGCTTCCATAAAGATGACAGCCTTGGAGACCTTGTGGGCAGTTCCACTCTGTCCTCTAGGGGCGCTGTGGGTCGGAATGGACTCCAGGCAGTGGGTGTGGTTTGGGCTTTGCTTCTGTGAAGATTGACAGCCTTGGAGACCTTGTGGGCAGTTCCACTCTGTCCTCTAGGGGCGCTGTGGGTCGGAATGGACTCCAGGCAGTGGGTGTGGTTTGGGTTTTGCTTCTGTGAAGATTGACAGCCTTGGAGACCCTGTGGGGCAGTTCCACTCTGTCCTCTAGGGGCACTGTGAGTCAGAATCGACTCCACAGCAAGGGATTTTCACTCTCTAGGTTGGCGTATCTGCTGTATTACAGGTTCTCAAACTCTTCATACACTTATAAAGTATTGAGCACTCCAAAGACCTTTTGTTTATGTGGATTATGGCTATTAATATTTACTATATTGGAAATTAAAATTGATAAAGTTTAAATACAAGAATCCAGAAACACACCATCCATTAACGGTCAGGACAATGATGACATCACGTGTCCTGTGACTGAAACCGAGTGCTATTTCCCCCACCCTGGCACCTGGATGGGAATAGATAAGTAGACTGGATTACCCCCAACTATTTCCCCCACCCTGGTTAAGACAGATAATTAGATAAGACCCCTCAGGGGGATAAGTAAACTGGATTATCCCCAAAAGTATTTTAGAAACAACTTGTAAATGAACTCTGGCCCGAGGACATAAGGGAACAAAAATTAATTGCTGACCCTCTCCCCTCTGCCCAAGCCCCTATCAGCTGACTCATCCGTCACCCATTTCGTGTTCACTCCCCAAACTGTGAATATGCACAACCCCCTCTCCTGAAACCTACAAAAACTGTTTCAATGGCATCTCGGGGAGTTAAGATCTGGGTACAGACTACCCCTAACTTCTTGCATTGCTGCTTTTCAATAAATAATTTTCTCTCCTCTCAATCTCGGTGTGTAAACTGTTTTGGCCTGACTGCACACCGGGCAGGGACCCACCTTTGGTCCGGTACCATGACCTCTGAGAAACTCCACCGTATAATCATGAAAGCAGGAGAGTGACCAAGGCAAGTAACATCTCAGCATTACTTTTAAAGTACTTTGACCTCATGTTCACCTAAAAGAATTCCAGAGATCCCCAGGGTCCCAAAATCACACTTTGAAAACCTGCTATGCTAATCCCATTACTAGGTCTATATCCTAAAGAAGTGAGAGGCAGGACACAAATAAATAAATGCACACCCATGTTCATCACAGCACTATTTACAATAGCGAAGAGATGGAAACAACCTAGGTGCCCATCAACAGAGGAATGGATATACAAACTGTGGTAGACAATGGAATACTATACAACCCTAAAGAATAATGTAGTATCTGCAAAACACTGCATAATTTGGATGAACTTGGAGGACATTAGGCTGAGTGAAATAAGTCAGTCACAGAGGGACAAATATTGTATTAGTCCACTATTGTAAAATTCAAGGAAAGGTTTATACACGGAAGGAAATTTTCTTTGTTGGTTATCATGGATGGGAGGGGAGGGAAAATTCCTAGACAGGTTGGAAAAAAATAAAAACAATAGATAGATAGACAGAAACCAAGGATTATTAGTGGTTTCCAGCGGCAGGAGGGAAGGGAAAGGGGAAAGTTTTGCTGGCGGGGCATCGAGTTTATGCTAATGGTGGCAGGGTATTTTGGGAAAGGGTCACAAGGGCAACACAACATCAAACGTCCCTGAGCTGCAAATGGGGAAGCTGTTACATTGGCTGATGTCTGGTATGTTTTCACCACAATAAAAGTAAAAAAAAAAAAGAAAAGAAAAGACTGCTATGCTAGATTCAGTTTTGCTGTAACAATTCAGTTTTGCTTTACACTGAGCTCTGGTAGCATAGTGCCTAAGGCACCTGACTGCTACCCAGAAGGCTGGCGGTTCAAATCCACCAGCCACTCCTCTGAAGGGAGGTTGGGCAATCTACTTCCATAGTGACACTGCCTCGGAAACCCAAGGAAGAGTCACTGTGAGTTGGGTCCAACTCAAAGGCACATAACAACAACAGTTTACACTGACTGGTTCCATGACTGGGGACCCATTATCTGTGAATATTAAAAAAATAAAAAAAACCGCAACCATTGCCGTGAAGTTGGATCTAACTCATACTGACCCCTCCTTGGGTTTCCAAGGCAGTATCACTACAGAAGTAGATTGCCCAACGTTCTTTCCAGGGAGTGGCTGGTGGGTTTGAATCGCCAGCCTTCTGGTTAGCGGTCAAATGCCTTAGGTGCTATGCCACCAGAACTCCCTTGTGGATACTAGCAATTAAAAAAACAAAGGTCTCCAAGGAGTCTGTGTGCTTGCCCAGGGGCCAGAGAGAAGGTGGCAAAGGCTGCGAATGTTCCATTTCACAGAGAAGCCCAGGGGAAAACAACTGAGCAAAAGCTCCCAAAATAGGCCCACCAGTGGGTGGCCAGCCTGGACGCTAGGAGGGCCCTAGGTCAAGTGCCCTGGTGAAGCTGGCCACCACTGCTGGGCCACCCACACGGAGACTGGCTCAGGCTGGAGGCACTGTCAACAGTGGCCTGAATGGACAAAGAATGACCTCCAAGAAGAGAGCCTACCTCCATGGCCCTTGGTTTAATGCCACGTCCATTCTTACTGCTGATGCCTCTCAACTGCAAATGATTTCATGGTCGCCCAGGTCGGGACCTCTGCCTGCCTTTCTGACCCTTGATGTAATGCCTAAGGTATCTGACTGCTAACCAGAAGGTTGGTGGTTCAAACCTACCAGCTGCTCCACAGAAGGAAGAGGGGGCAATCTACTTCCATAAAGATCTACCACCTTGGAAACCCAATGCGGGTCGCTATGAGTCGGTATTGATTCAATGGCAGTGAATTTGGTTTTTATATGGATACAGAGATAAACATGGAATACAAAGATGAGCATCATCTCTGCCCTTGAGCTGCCAAAGCTTAACGGAAAAGTCCTATCAACATAGTTCGGTTCAGGGGCTCTCCCCCAATAGCTCATATCCAGCAGGAGCTGGGACCTTCTCCTTGAGTGTGACACCCTCCTGGAAAAGCTTTCGGTATCTGCGTCAAAGCCTCCCTCCTCACCTGCCTCTGGCCTGGTCTGGGACCTCAGAGGGAAAGGTATCAGTGGAGGAAGGGCTCCACTCTTTAATCCGTGGCCGGAGCTGACCACGCAACTCCCCTCATGCCCTGCTCAGTAGTGGAGAAAGACGAGAGTAGCTGTGGTAGAGATCACTTCAGCCTCCCCTCCTCCTACCCCAAAGCCTCGGCTTTCCCTTCAGCACATCCTGGGTGCTCAGTCTCCCCCTTGTGTTATGGCAAACCTCCCTCTCGGTTTCTCCATCTGAATAACACCTAGAGGGAGTGAGAAAACTGAGAATCAACTGGGGTAACTGTTAGCTGACTGGATCCTTCTTCTTAGCCATGTGCTGAGGACCCTTGGCTGGTGGGAATTTCCCAAAAGGATACCGCCTAGAAGGCTGGTCCTCCCCTCTGGGAGAGTCAGGGAACCTCCTTGACCACATGAACCAAAGTATACGCCCCTCATTATTCTCCTCTCCTACCTCCCGATTCCTCAGCCTTTCCAGGAGCACTGGCCACAGTTCGTTCCTATGTTGGTATTTACTTGCTTATGTGTGTGTTGTCTGCCATCCTACTAAATGTTAAGCTCCAAAGAGGAAGAACTATGTCTGCTATGTTCTCTACCATACACAGTGCCTGACACACTGACTGGACATAGTAGACACTCCACCAAGCTAGTAGAATGGTCAATCTTCAGACGAATCAATGAATGAATAAACTGTGACTGAATCATGTGGGAAATTCTACGATGGACTTAAACACAAGAGTAGGAAGATCAGACCAACCTAAGGATTCAGGACTTGCTTCCTAGAAGAGAAACAACTGGGCCTAGACTTCAAATGAGCAAATACTATCTATGCAGACAAAGGTGAGACACTACATGGTACGTGGTGTAGGCAGAATCTACACCACAACAGAACCTTCCAGTGCCCACGTTCAAATGTGACAGTCACAGACTCACACTCAGGCATCCAAAGAGATTTGCCCTTCCCCGTCAGATGCACAACAGTCAGTCACAACTGAGTGCATCATCACAGCCACCTAAAATCTTACTGCAGAACAAAGGCCACCCAAATCCAGCCTTTATGCCAAGCTACTTAAAGTCAAGGAATCTCAGGGTTGAAAAGACATTAAGGTCACCCCAAGAGCCTCCTCAAATCCTTTGTGGTGAAAGGAAGAATATGGATCGATAAGAATATGGACAGATGAATAAGAAATACATGTATAAGCTAACAAAAAAATGGTGGGAGAATCAGGGAACGCTTCATAAGTATGACTTTGAAAGGCAGAGATTTGAGGTGAGGGAAGGAAGAACATTCCAGACAAAGGAGTAAAGGACACACAAAGGCTTGGGGGGAGGAAGGCTCAGGGATCCAGGGATCTGAGGAAAGTCTAGTCAGCTGATGAACTCTGGGATGACGGGCGTGAGGGCATAAGAGTGAAAAAGCGGGTTGGAACCAGACTTTAACGTCATGACAAGGAGTTGGGACTTAATGCCGTAGGAAATGTCACTGAAAGTTTTATGCAAAGCAGTGAAATGAGCAGAGTCATTTCAACATTCCTACAATAAAAAACTGAATTCTTTAAATCCATGTTTTTCATTCCCACCTACTTCAAGCCCGTATTACCTCACTCCTCTCTAACCTATCACCATTGGTCTCTTTGTCTCCAGTAGTCCTGTCTTCTGATCCAACCTGAATTATATCATGATCATCTTCACAGAAAAACTTCAAGGACCCCAAATTCAAGGCCAAGTGCCTTCATCTTGGACCCGGCCCTCTCCTTGGCCTGATTCTATCTTTGCAACATTATTTCTCTACGTGGTTCCAGCGGACCTTCCTTCTTGCCAGGTGAGTGTCTTCTTGGCCCCTACACATGTTCATTCCTCTCCTTTTCTCTCGGCTCAGGCTGCCTGGAGCCCCTCTCCCACTCTGCCCCTGAACGACCTCTACCTTTAAAGTTACAATAGAGCCTCACTTCCTTTAAAAGCCTTTCTAAAGCCAACCCACAAACCTCTTCCTCCTCTGAGCCCTACAAGGTCCCGGGCATCTGTTCCAGGACACACAATCCCATCCTTTCTCGTCCTTGTGATCTGGCTGGGCCACGGTCATGCTCGCCTCTCCAGGAAGGATGGAGGCCTGCCCAGGGGCTGGGCTCTATCTTTTCCTGAACTTTCTCTCCACCATCTAGCCTGCTCCTGGCACTCAGAGAGTCAGTGTTCCCGATCTCTGCAGGTAGTCAGTGGTGGTAGACACACTGAGAAGGCGTCACACAGGTGCGCACATAAGGAAACATGACAGTACACTTGGAAAGCCTCTGCTCTCGTCACTCCTGTAGCTCAGAATTGCTGCCCTGCTCCTGGGGTCCCTGTGGGCTTCTAAGACGGAGAGGAACCCTGGGGGCACAGGGATGAAAGCCTCGAGGCTCAAGAGAATCTCCAGTGTGCCACCTCCTCCGCCACCGCCCTCGCCTGGCTCAGACCATACCTGGAAGGCCTCTCTGAGGGCCTGGGCCTGTTCCCGGGTGCGGTTGTCCTGCCAGGGCCGGCCCGTCGAGCGCGTGGGGCCCGCACGGAGACTCTCTCCGAAGACGTCCAGGTAGAAGAAGACGTAATCGCCGTTGGTCAGGTTCTCCCTCTGGGCCTGGAGCAGGATCTCATGCAGCATGTCCACAGGGCCACAGATGTACACGACTGGGGACGGGCAATGACGAGAGGCGGCGCCCTGAGAAAGCGCCCCCTCTCTGAGCCGCTCCATGTCCATCTTAGCAAGAGGAGAGTAGGCCCTGACCTGTCAATCACCCAGCAGAGGCTCCGGTCCCGCCCCTGCAGGCTCTGTCACTAGCACCCTGGGGCCAGAGGGACCATCTGGCAGAAGTCAGAGCAAGGGAGCCACCCTCCAGCCTCTCCTTTTGCAGGCCTCCTCACTCGCCCACCTCGCCCCTGCCTCTGCCTGGCTTCCAAGGCACTGACTCCTCAGTCTCTCAGGGTGAGCCTGACCTCGGCCCCCCACTGAGTCTGCTCCAGCCCCAAGCCCACTTCCAGAGTCTCCACAACTCTCACGCTGCCAAGGAGTCTTGTGACTCCTTGGGAAACCTGTGCTAACACACAGGCACACGAATCAGCCTGGCCACGGGTCGCATTCCCAACTCCAGGGTTTGCCAGCTGCTTGCCGAACTCAAAAGCCCCAAATCCCACATTCTCCTGAGACAGGCTTCCCCCTCATGACATCTCACCACATCTCCTTCCTCCCGTAAGTCTGTCAAGAAGTCTGGCTTCTCCCCTGGTCATGCCTCAGCCCTCCCACAGGTGCACTGCCCACCTGGGCCTCTTGATCCCACCTCTCAAGGACGGCATCTCAAAGCCTGCCTCCACCGGGAGCTTGCGGGCTGGGCTCCCGGGAGACAGCCACCCTCCTCCCCTGACCGTGAACAGCGGGGCCACACTCACTGCGCCCGTTGGCCCGGATGAAGTGCGTGGCCTGCTCAGGGCCGCCAGGCTCTCGGGTGTACACCTGGTGCTGCACGCTGAGGTTGCTGCCCTGCAGCGCCTCGAAGACGCCCTCTATGGTGAAGTAGTGAGGCCGGTCGTCCGTGCGGGCGTCCAGGTACAGCAAGGCAGCGCGGGCCGTCCAGTTGAAGTGGCCGTGCAGGGTCACCACAAACTCGCCCAGCTTGGGTGCCGAGGGGCCCGTGCGAACCAAGGTGCGGTAATGCTCGTTCTTAGCCGCAAAACCAGAGGCCACAGCGCCCGCCGTCAGCAGGGGCAGGCGCCAGTGGGAGGCAAAGCGGGCCACAGAGGCAGCGGGGTACACGCACCCGGGGCCTAGCAGCAGGTCGGGGTCATGGTACAGCTTGAGGTCCACGGCGCGCAGCGGTGCCAGGTACTCAGAGCAGGCGCCATCCAGCTCAGAGCTGACGAAGCGCAGGTCCACGGGCAGTGCCCGGCCCAGCGCCTCCACGGCTAGGGCCACAGCGGGACCCACCCGCGGCCAGGCCCAGGCATAGCTCAGGTTGTGTTCCGGCAGCACCACCGCCAGCGTCAGGTTCCGGGCCCCGGGAGGTCGCACCCCACCTGCCAGTGCTGCCACCAACAGCAGCAGTGACGGCAGGGCCATGGGGGTACGGCAGGAGCCCCACCCGCCCCAGGACCTGGGGCCACTACGGCCTACAGGCCAGGCGCAAGCGCCACCCAGCCTGGCACCTGGGCAAGGGGCTAGGAGGAGAAGGAAGGGCCAGCCAAGCGGGCGCAGGGCACGGACGGTGCCGGGGTCTGGGGAGGGGGGAGTCCCAGGGGTGGCCAAGCAGTGGCTAGCCGCCCCGGGGAACCCTGCGCACTGCGTACATGCGCCCCTCCGAGTCGGCGGGCAGGACGAGGGAGGCGCCTGGGCGGCCGGAGAGCGGGATGGGGGCGGTGCAGGGCTGCGGAGGGAGAGGGGAGCCGCGGCTGGGATGGGGTAGGGGCGCTGGGGCCAGCCGCTCCAAGGCGCCGGCCTGCGGGGACCTCCCAGCCGGCGCGGCGAGGGGCGCAGGCGGCTGCCAACAGCGGCGCC